AATTCAGAATAAAGAATACAAATCATAGGTTAAAAATGGGAAACATCTGAGATAAAAACTCAACATTTTGAGATATCACAGAACATTAGTATCAGTGCCATTTGCAATATTACTCAGTAGTTTGTTCAGCGTCAGTCTCAGCATCAGAGTGCAATATTTCTATTCTAGTTTAATTTTAGCTGACTTATTTTTATGTTATCAGTGTATTTTACTTATATCTTATTATGTACTATTCTATTAGGCACTGCATTTATTGTCATGTTTCTGAGCCATTTCTGCCACAAATTTGTTTTGGGATCTAAGTTGTGAGCTATAACTGAAACTGTGAATTAACATGTTAGGTAGGCTAAAATGTGACCTCCGTGAACATGTTGAAAGTGTTTGTTATTGTTCTGGCACTAGCGGGCTTCCATACCTTTGTGCGCTCAGCAGGAAAAAAGCCTTTAATCGCTCCGGAGTCGGCTCAGACTACGCATGCGTGGACATTTACCCAGCAGGTAAACTCCACCATGGCGGCGAGAGGCCATGTGCAGGACCCAAACGACAGGAGGCTCAGACCCATATACGGTAAGGTCTCAATGGGAAGCCAGATATCTGTGCGTGTTCGGAGGTTTGCTGAAGACAGGTAAACGCTGTACCGGTGCATGTGTTTAAACTAGTGGCTGCTGGAGCCAGAGGGGCAGCGGTGAGGCCCCTCCAGCTCCAGCCGCGGACTGTGTTGCCTGCAGCGCCCAATGACAGTGCACCTTACCCGGTCTACCACCCAGCCGGGGTGAGACAACATGGCGGGTGTCTGGATGAAACCGTGTATTCCCGAGTTAAACCTGTCCACAGTCTCGGTGTTGTTGTAATGCTGAACGGTGCGGAGATTTTTGTCGTCCGCATCTCAAAGTCGAAGAGCTTTCCCCTTCTGCTAACGGTTTGACAGCTAGCCTAGCATGCTAATGTGTCAGCTAACCAGCTAACTCATTGAAAAGCTGCGGCTGGGTTCAAAGTAAAGTGTTTGTGTGGTTTGTAGGCTTCAGGTTCAGAGGTAATACAGTTGATTTTAGCATCCAGTCAGGTGACGGCTGCTTTGTAGGTAGTTACATTTTACACAGTTAGCTTCCAGCTAGCATTATGTTCATAATAGTTTTAAGGACAATGCTTTATGCTAACTCCAGTACATACGATGTAACACCAGCTAGCCTGCTAGCTGGTGTGGAGCTGTCACAGCTCACCGTCCTTTTCAATAAAGGCTCTACCAGACGTGGTTGTTGGGGTTTTTAAACGTTTCAGGCTTATCCCAGTCCATAAATCTTTAAATTTTAACATGTTACCCAAGGTTTGAGTTATTTCAGTGCAAAATGAATATAAAGTGTGAGACACTTGTCAAGTAAGGTTATCTCACTTTATTTCTGTGCTTTGTCCATGAACCACATTAATACCATAGTGCGTGCAGGCCTTGGAATTAGTCTTATTTGTCACGATTTACAGCTACAGTTATGAGCAAAGTTGTGCATTTAACATTAATGTTTGTGAACCACTTAGCTAGAGTCTGGTTGCCAGTTTTAGCTACCAGCTGAAGTGAAATAGGTATACATTGTAGATTTTACAGCGATGTCCTGATGAAGTGTTTTTGCTCCTAATCTAGTTAGAGTTGTTTAATATCCAGTATCTGCTGACACAGAGTCCTAATCCAGCATCATTTCCTTGATCATGCGCTCTTCAGGTACATGAACCTATGACAGCATTTCTGCATCTTGTTGGATGTGACAGAGCTGCCTTTGCACCTCAAATCATGTCTATTGACTGAAACAGCAATATCGGCACGGTACAAATGTGCACTGTGCTCAATTTGTGTTGCCAATTATTCATCTGTTGATTAACAATGCTGCAGAATATTGATTAAGAAATCTATTTGAAATTGGCATCCCTAGCATCCTGCTCAGATTGTACTTTGTCTTCACGACATCTTCCAGATGAAATATTTCTGCTTAAAGCTTGCTCTTCTATAGCTTGGGAGACAAATTTCTGATTCTCGTTTCAGGGTTAGGTTTAGTCTGATATGTTCCTCATCTTTTTCTCGTGAAACTCACTTGGATAAATGGGTGCGACAGGAGGACAATTAGCAACAGGTATCATACTTGAGACAAAGGAAATACCTTCACCTCGACGAATGGATCCAGTTTTTTCCTCAGCTGAGCTACCTGTGAGCTGTATATGCAGCACAGTACAAAACGGATAAAGGTTTACAGACTAAAAGTTAAAATACATTTTAAAAAGACTGGATATTTTACAAGGAATTAGCTACCCCTTACTATGTAGTTGTCTCTGTCTTGGTTGCAGCTTTGAGTTCTATGAAAATGTTAAAGAGTTCACAGCACAGTCGTCGTCTTTACCTTTACATGTGTCACTTTCATTCTGTTACCTGAAAACAGAAACAGGAAAAAATGTAAATGAGAACACCGTCATTTAGAATTCAGCTTATTAAAAACAATGCATGTGAGCACAGAGAGCAGGAGAGAAGCAAACAGATGCCTCCTTTGCATTTTCTCTTCAGTTCTTCATGCATTTTACAATCCAAACTCTGCATATGTATAAACTACCTTTTTGTTCTGTGATCATTTGAAATACTCTCAGACTGTGGGAGCTTTGGGTCTTTGGAAACTTACACTGACCAAGTCAAACTTGTCTAAAACTGTAGCGCAGACTGCAGCTGACCAGAACATGCAGCCAATAGTGACTCACTATTACTGACATCATGATGCAATAGTTATGCAGTGATACTAAAGAACAGTATTTGTTGTAATGAACTGAAGGAAAAAAATGAATGATGTGTAAAAATGTTGATGCCCACGCCACTCGTTATGCCCAATAATTGCAACAGCTTTATTATAAAAAATGTAGAAGTGAGCTGTGTGACAAAAATGTTTGTTAATCACTGAGCCAGACCAGTGTTGCCAGTTTTCGCTACCAGTGGAGAGAGATTGGTATTATTACTCTGTAATCTGGTTGACCAATCCTTCAGATAGTCTGAGAGAGGAGATGCAGAGGCTGATGATAGGAAAAAGTACACAAATTACACAATAAACCAAAATAAAACTACTGGTAACTATCAGGCCAAATGTGATGTCTGTGTGGTTAACTTATTAACAGGAATTAATTGATTAGCTGTTAATTGTTCCTGTCCCAAATCTGAAGAGTTTCATTTTTACCTTGTGATGGACTTTCACTGGATTCCAACAATAACGAGCCCTGTAACCGGTGCGCTCACTCGCACATGATTGATGAATAAATTAACAAAATATGCAAGTGCAAAGTAGTGTGGAGTTTGTTCTGCTGCTTGAAGAATGCATGAAGGTACTTGCATTTTTAAGTAACAATTTTATTTTTCAAGGGACTGTACAGTGTGTGCCACGAGACGCTAACAGATCTTTGACGCTGTTTCTTTGAGTATCAGCTTCACGGTTAGCTTTGTGCTCATGGAAACATTGCAGTGTTTCAAGGAGCTGAACTGAGAATAAACAAGTTTTAGAATATTAGTTTTGTTGCATTTCGCCAAGCAGCAGTGAATTTCAACTTAATTTAAGTTTTGTTTCAAAGCCATGAAATACTTTAAAACCGAACATCTTTCTAATCCAGTCCTTGCAGCGTCGGTGCTGCTCAGTTTGGCTGCAGGCCATGACCTTATCAACCCCGGCTACTCATGATATGTCAGAGTTGCTCCAGCTTCTGTTGGCTTTGGCAACTTTTTTCTGGTGTGATGACAGTTTGAACCGAGAGAATAGACATGACATAATCACAGTGCCCTGTCTGGCACAGTTAATTTTGGCACCCAGCTGTCCTGAGGAGGCTGAACTGAGGTGTCTCTGTGGGAGTGTGTGCATCCGCATGCTTCCCCATACAACACCCACTCAGAGAGACACACTGGACATGCACAATTATAGAGCTTTTTTTTTTTTTTTTAAATTAATAGATGAATTGTTGTACAAAATAATGGACAACTGGGGAAAAAATGACACTAAAAAATAAAACTATTTATTGTAGAGTTGGATGATGTGGGTAAAATATCTAATTGTGTTATTGCATGATTGTGATAAGTTAAATAAGTATTATTAATGATTAAGTATTGTTAATAGAAAAGAAATGCCAATAAGAGAATAGTAATAGAAAAAATGCTATGTAGTGTAAATCAAAAATTGCATGCTTTGTGATTTGCTAATTGCATTGTTTCAAGATCAAGATCTATACCCTAGCCCTAATCTATACCCAAAGTATTCATTCATTCATTCATTCATTCATTCATTCATCCATCCATCCATTCAATCCAAAACCCCCACAGTCTTCCAGTTTTCTGGTACATATATTTCTAAATGAGCAAATTTTCTTAATTGAGAACTTTTCTGTCAGTTGACTCTGTTTCTTGTTTTTCCACAGATTACCTTGATAATGGCAACAACAAAATGGCCATACAGCAGGCAGATAAGCTGCTGAAGAAACATAAGGATCTGCACTGTGCCAAGGTGGGTAACTGAATGACTGCTGAGTTTTGTTTGTTTTCTGTGAGGACTCCTCCACTGCTGCCAGTAATCTACATCAATCTCATAAAATGCAAATTTCTTGTTGGAACCTGTGACGAGTGCTTTGTAAACAGGACAGATGTACAGACTCGTACCTCAAACATCAGCAGTTCCCAACCTTTTAACTGGCTTGCTAATCGTGATGCTAGCAGTATTCAGATCCTTTTAGTAAGGAGCTATACTACTCCAAGTATGACGACAGTGTGAGCAGTTAACTGTACTTGTACCCTTCTCGGGTATTACGCTGATGTGTTAGTATGCTGGGAGCATTTTAATGTTGCAGCTGGTCAAGTTGAGTTCATCAGATTTATATAACCCTGATAATAACGAGGGCTGCAACTATTCGTTGTTTTTACAACTGAATAAACCGCAAATGTTTAAAAAAAAATTTATTAATCCTCTGAACTCTAAAACCCATAGGCAGGTTTGAAATGTATGCTTTCTTTAAAAAAATAAATAAATAAGAAAATAGACAAAATTCTAAACTTTCTCATAACTAGAAACTGTTTGAAACCCAAAGAATTGTCAGCTTTTCAACTTTCCGACAGTAAGTGAACGCATCTTGTGATCCGTGGTTCAACCGAGAAAAATAACCCAAAAATAAGATAAAATGTACCAGATCCTGTAAAAACACAAAAAATTCAATTGTCAGCATTTTTTTTAATATACATTCAGCTTAGTGAAACATTTCTCAAGAGGTGATGTGCCAGGAATGTGAAAAACGTTGAGTTTCTAGAGGTTGTAAAAATGTAAATAGTTACATTTCTATTGTATGTGAAGACCTTATTAATTTTTCCAGTATCTGTAACACCTGTGAGTTTTTTTCTCATTTTTTAAAAACAAATACATGGTTAACATTCATTTTCATCTTTAAAAAATAAAAATATAAAATGTACAGTCTAACTGTATTGTATTGTACTATACAGAAGACAATTCTACAATTCGACAGTTTCATTCAGCAGACGCTTTTTTCCAAACATACATACATCTGAGAGCAGATACAACACAAGCAAGGATCTAGTCAGGAGAAAACAATCTAGATAAGTGCCATGGAGAAAATTCAAATGTGATAGGGCGTTGATGCCAACAGCAGGCCGTGTGGGAAGTAATAGGATTTTTTTGTTTGTTTGTTTGTTGTTGTTTTTTGTTTGTTTTCGGGCTGTCTGTGTTCTCTCTACTTTAAGCCATGGTTGTGTTGTTTCCAAAGAGGTGCAGGACTTTCTATCACAGTTAAAAATGAGCCGACAGTGAGGAAAAACATGACACAAGCAAAAACTGCATAAAGTTCAGAGGGTTATGTATGCAGCCAGACATTCTCTGTGGATTCTTCTAAGCCTCACCTTAGACACTTGTGTTATCTCCCTCCACAGTTCCATCTATAACTACTTCTTCTTGTCTTCCAGGTGCTGAAGGCGATCGGTCTCCAGAGGACTGGAAAGCAGGATGAAGCTTTCACTTTGGCCCAGGAGGTGGCCACCCTAGAGCCTACCGACGACAACTCACTTCAAGCTCTGACTATACTGTACAGAGAGATGCATCGTCGTGAGTACATATGCACACACAGGAAGCCTGGTAATAACGCTGGAGTGAAGTTGTTTTAAAACTTGTGTGTTTTGTTTGCAGCGGAGTTGGTCACTAAGCTGTATGAGGCTGCAGTGAAGAAGGTTCCTCTCAGCGAGGAGTACCACTCTCACCTCTTTATGGCTTACGCTCGGGTGGGAGAGTACAAGAAGATGCAGCAGGTGAGCAAGCTAACAGCAGAGTTATACGCTCATGTGTAAACAATAAGATGGAAACATAATCAAAATAACAGAGAGGTTGTTGATGACTGTTTTTGCATTTTACAGGCAGGGATGGCCTTGTATAAAATCGTCCCCAAGAATCCATATTATTTCTGGTCCGTCATGAGTCTGGTGATGCAGGTACGGCAGACTTTCATGATGTAGATTCCAGAAATGTTTTCACTGATCTGCAAATAAACTAAAAAAAGCTGGGGGGTTTTTTGTTGTTGTTGTTGTTGTGAAGGCAATTTCAGCACAAGATGAAAAATTGGCCCAAACTATGTTCCTGCCTCTGGCTGAGCGCATGGTGGAGAAAATGGTGAAGGAGGAGAAGATTGAAGCAGAAGCAGAAGTGAGTATGACTGTCTGTACACCCTGGAGTGTTAAAATATTATTTTATCTCCACTAGCCCCATGAAAACTGTGCTGGGGGTGACCTGATGGCCAAGTGGGCCAAACTGATCTGCTGAATTTCATCCTCTTGTTTTCTCTCCTACATTCAGAACTGCACTTTCTAAATAAAGCCAAATTACTCTAAAAAACTTTGGAATACTGCACTTTAACTCCTTAAGTCAGCTTTTGATACCTGAAAATACAGATGTGTTGACATTTTCATTTCAGCCATTTAGTTTTCTTCCCCTGTAAAACTCTGTGACTTTCATAGAAGCATGAATGTAAGACCACACTAATGATAAGATGAACCTTTTCTTTTCCAGCTGCTCTTTTGATTTGGAAAACTTAAGAATACAAAATACAATCCAGCTAGTCCTTTTGGGAAAGTCTCTGAGATATTGATAGTACAAAGAAAAGACAGTCCTAAACCTCATCAGGGTATTTTGTGCAAAGTTGAAAATATGTGATGAGGGATTACCCAATGAGATACGATCAAAAGTGTGACTCTTGTGTGGGAGGATGGCATGAATTTTTCAAACCAGGCACACAACAGCTTAACTCCTGTTTCAGACACGCTGCATAATGTGTACTCTAAATCGCAGCCTTTTTGATTTGCTAACTGCATTGTTCCAAACTCAGATTTTGATTGGAAATTGATTGTTTAGGCCTAAATTCATATCCTCTTACATTTAATTTTATCAAACAAACAGCTTTGGAAATATTTATTAGACTCCAGTGTTTTCTGCCTCTACGGCTCTTTGTGGAGCCATGCTAAGTTTTCTTCTTAAGGTTTTTATGGATGCTGTTCTGGTTGTTTGAAGCTGGTTAACAGCGGCTCTCTGACTGTATGCCTCTCTGATAAAGATGGCTGTCTTCTATTATGAGCAGTTATCTTATTGAAACAATTTTTTAGTAAAAATGTAGCTTGGATTATCTGTTGGCTTTAGAGATAGAAGAAGAAATGTTTTTAGCCATCTAGTGTGAATTTAGAAATATTTACGGTTTCAATAAAATCACATTTTTAAGTGTAATTTTGTACTAAACTAACTAAGCTTTCTTGTATTCCAAATCTTTTATATTTATTCAATTTTTTTTTAATGTAGTACAGTCATTTTTATGCACATGTGTGTATATTTTTAAAACAGTTTTTCTTACCTACCTCATGTTGGGTCAATATAAGTTATGTGTGTTTTCTGATATGTAAATCGCAACACTGCAATTTCCCGTAGGTGATCAATAAAATAATCTATGAAGCTATCGTAAGACTTTTATTTTATTACTTTCCATATCCATTTGAACAGTCCAGCAAAACCTACTACTTCTCTGTCAAATAAGGTAATAGTGACTCATTGCTGTACACAAATGAAATGAAATACAGACTCTCTTCTTTCAGGCTGTTAAAACAGTTCGTATGATTTTTTTTATTTTTTATGTGTTTTTTAAAGAATCTCATCTCGTCATTCTGTGACAGCAGAAATTCTTGATAAATGATTTGACAGATTTTCTCACCAGAAATAATCAATTTCTCTCCCTTTAAACTGGTGTTAAACCAAGACTGTCTCTATTTAGAAGTTTGTGACAGATGTCTAGACGATAATATGACCCTCATTTAGTCAAATGTAACTTCTCCAAAAATGTAGGTCCTCATATTTCTGGCAATAGAAAACAGGTAATTTTTAACTTTGCTGTGACATGGTTGTATTTACAGATGTTTTTTTTGGCTTTTTATGTGTGACTGCAGGTACAGCTGTATTTTATGATCCTGGAGCGTTTGGGAAAATGTGTTGAGGCTCTTGAAGTGATCAGGGGTCCACTCGGGGGTATGTGGATGTCTGTTGTTGTTTTTCTTCTGCTCCTTTACTTGTAAGATGGGAAAATTCCTTCATACTTCTTCACGCAAACGTTGTGTTATTGAAGCATATGAAAATGAAATGAAATGAAAAATACTTTATTCATCCCAGAAGGGAAATTCAATTCAATTATATAATGAATCAATTCATATATAATGTATAATTGCATCTTTTTATTAATTGTGTTTATAAGGACATCATAATAAGCTTCTATGTAAAGTGTTGGCCAGCTGCTTAATTCATAACTGCAGGTTCTTGGTGAGGTGTTCCTAAACCCCTGAAATGACAACAACAATTTTAGGCAGTAACTTTGATGAGATGCAGAGCTGCATCAATGTTTTATTCATAATCAGTATTTTTAGAAAGTTGGATTAAGTACCAAGAGTCATAAATAAAATAAGAAGTTAACCAATAATACTATTAATAAAATGATGTCAGAAATAGTTCAGACGCAGTAAAATGATGATGTAGCACAATATACACAGATCAGAACAGTGCCAGTTCAAATATCTCTTCGCCTCATGTTCATTGGCCTTTGCTGTGTGAGCCTGTCAGCTGTACATCAAAATCACTATCATCTTTTAAATCTCTTTTATGATTTGGCTTTTTCTCGACAGATGGTAATTGTTGTATTCCTTTTAATTAATTTATCTTGTTACAGCTTAATTTCTTGTTCTTATTAGTTTATTGTATGTTTTTTTTGTAAAGCACTTTGTCTTTGAAAGGTGCTATATAAATAAAGTTTATTGTTGTTATTATCCTTCCACAGACAAGCTGACCAGTGAGCTGCAGAGCAGAGAAAACAAGTGTATGATGCTCTACCAGCGACTACAGCGCTGGCCTGAGTGTAACGCCTTGGCCCACAAGCTGCTACTCAAAAAGTGAGTACAAGTACACACTTTAAAGTCTTTAAAGGCTGCTGATCTGTCAGAGATGAAAGCTGACGATCGAAAAATTATCAGTTGTCTCTCAAAAGCCGACTAATCAGAATATGAGATAACATTATGCAGAAAAATTTACATGAGCACAAAGCAGAACATGACAGGGAAAAGAAAGGAGGTCATCGATAAGTATAATGTTAATGTCTGTGGTTGCCAGTACTTTAGTCTTGTTAACAAAGTGGCACAGATGAATGCAGCGACCTGACATACCTGCTGACACTTTGATCACAGTTTTGTAGTTCACTGAGCAATAATTGTACAGTCTGAAAATATAATTCAGTCTGACACAAAGTGCAGCTCAGATTTGATCACATCTGAGAACATGAGACGAACTACAGATCTCAGACAGCACTAACAAACTGGCCCGTTTCTCTTTCTAGTCCTGATGATTGGCAGTTTTATCCCGCCTACTTCGACTCTCTCTTCCACCTGATTGATCAGTCGTGGAGCCCGCCAGAAGAAGGCGAACAGTGAGTACAAGCGTTTGAATGTATGAATGCATGCAGGTGTTATAAATGCAGAACAACCTCTTAGACTGAGTGAAAGTAAGTCCCTGACAGGGGGTTGGTTTAAATCCTTATTTCTTGGGCCGTCAGGGTCATGACATTGTAGTTAACAGTCAGTTGTCTGACAATTTTCACTGCATTTTAAAGTTCTGCGCCTGCTGGAAGTACAAAGAACTCAGAAATGCAATCAAGCACTTATGCAGTAATTGTGACAGGTCTGTAAGTGAGTTAAAAAACATATCCTTCAACCAGACAAGGAGATTTTATAAACAACTGGAGCCCGCAAATATTGAATGAGCACAGTTGTCGTTGAATTGCTGTAAGCTTCAGCAGTGCTGTTGTCCAGACTTTGGAGGACGGCAAAAGAAAGTAATGGATAAATAGTGTTATCCTGCAATGATCTGTGTTTTTCTGTGTCTCCAGCTGCTCAGAGGGTTCCGTACATCACACTGTGGCTGAAGTGGTGAGGTTTGTGGAGGAGAGAATTAAGGGCGAGGACGGCAAAGACTCTCGTTCGCTCAGAGGGCCGTATTTAGCTCGGCTCGAATTAATGCACAGACTGAGAGAACGGGGCTGTCCTGAAGAAAGCCTGCTCGGTAAAACACACAGTTAGTGCAAACAATGTAAATGCACCAGCTGCTGTTCACTGTTGCCTTGTGTGTGACAGTCTGTTGTTTGACTTCAAACAGGTGAGCCTTTAGAGCTAATGGTGCAGTTCTTCGGGAAGTTTGGAGACAAGCCCTGCTGCATCACTGACCTGAAAATATACCTGCATCTGCTCTCTCCTGAGCAGCACGTTCAGGTAAGACAGTGTCACAGCAGCGCTATAAATCCGCCTCTGGTGATGTGAAGGACTCGACTGTGAAACCCCTTCCTCTCCTTAACGTTTCAGTTCATTAATCGTCTGAGTGAAGCAGTGCCACTGGGCGAGCAGGGGGAGGAAGGATTTGCTTTTCCGGAGGACACCAAAGCGCTGCAGAGACATTTGTGTGTGTGTCAGCTGAGTCGAGCGCTCGGGCTGCATCACTCCCTCGACGTGGATGGAAAACTGCGGCTTATCACTGAGCTCAAGGCTCACTACCGTCATGGGCTCAAGTTTGGTAAGAGCATCACTTTAGTTCATCATTGGACCTCTTTGCGTTAACATTTGTTCAAGATAATCAGATTGTGCACAGAACCAACAGGCTCATCTCATCAACTGAAACAGACAGATCGGAGATATTACTAACAGCAAAGTGGAAATACAAATCTTGATCATCAACACATTTGCTCTGATACCGGTGCCATGATGATGACCATCACTGCAATAAATGTGTCATAGTGTTGTTTTAGAATAGTCCAGAAACTAGAAGTCACCTTTCCACATTGTGGTGTGTGTTTCAGGCCTGTAGTGTTTATGCTTGGTCAATATGCTCTCATCACTCCACATTATCACTGGATGATCACTGGTGGGTTCGTCTTCTGGAGAAAAGTAAAATGCATAAATAGCTTTACAGGAATGATCCATTATTTTTGGTGGGGGGAAGAACAGAACCAGGCCAACCTAATGGAGACCGCTAGTCTAACTTATTTATGGTGCGGTCATACAGCTGCCCTCACATAGTACGTACTGTTTAATGCAGTATGCGTACCCGTAGGACATCTTACTTTTCATACTAATGTGCCCTGAACTCTGGCGGTCACTGTCTGTAGTGTGAAACGTCATCGGTCTGTGCTTGAAATTTCTAATAGTCATAGGCACTGATGTCTGCACATGAAATGGCTTTGTGTTTGTCGCAACTCTTGTATATTTCACACTGCATGTGTGTGTTAAATATAAGATGAAAATGTATGACATCTGAACATTCTCATCACATTATGTCGCGTTGTGACTTGACATGAAGTTAATATATACTGGAGGCTTGTATGATCACTGTTCTGCTCATCTGACAAATCATAAAGTACAGTGGTAGATTCTAACAAAAGGACAGGTGATACAGCTGTTACACGTCCATATTTAACTGATTTTGCTTTGAACTGATGGGCACCGAGCTGTCGATTGTCTCGTTTTGTTAAATGCTTGTTGCCTTGACTTCTCTCTTTGTGCATCTTCTCCTCGCCTCGTGCAAGTAGGTAAATAAGATGAGGGGAGAGACACTGCAACATCAAAGCAAAAGCGTCACATTGGGGTTATTTATTGGAGGGGAAAAAAACGATATAGATAATTGGAAAAATAAATAGCATTGGACTGACACTATGTCAAAGGAATCGTTAGCATGGCTGCATTTTGTTCATACAGAAGGAAAAACTGTTGCATGTACACAGCAGTTTGTGTATCACAGCACAACAACAGGTTAACTTGTCTGCATGATGTTCCTCAAGAGTTCTTGTGCTGGATCACCAGTTGATGTGATGCCATTTTCAAAAATCACATGAATATGTGCAGCTGGTTTGCTTCCAGGCTGTTACCATTTCAGTAGAAACATGAAGTGTACTGGCAAGAAGAAGGAGCTTCTTTTCTTTTTTTTCTAAACATTTTTTTTGCACTTGGTAGCACAGCAACACAGTCGCCGTGTACTTAATATACTGTTGCGTGTCTCAGTAGATATTAGATATAAGAAATGCAGACGTGGGAAGGAAGACTGAAAAAGCCAGAAAGAAAGATGGGTCATCCTTCTGCAAAACAGTGGTCAAGTTTTCCTGCCTCCATTTGTTTCTCCTGTGGCTCCTCTTCTCATCACTGCTTTCTCTTTTTGTTCTTTAAGAGTAGTTGAATTCTGTCACAGGAGCACATTTTAAATATCAATAAACGCTCCTTTGGTTAATTGATACTGCTGGCACTTGCTGCTCTTATACAGTGTGAATAGATGCTGCACAAAAGCTGCAGAAACCTCAAAAATTGTGTGTAAAAAAAAAAGATAATAGGGAGGAAAGCAGGGACTTTTCAATGTGAAGAACTAAATTTAGACTTCTGATTTCTCTCTGAAAGTGCAAGTTCACATTTTTCAGTTCCAGAGTCTGAGTGACCAAAATCTACACTTTCACCCACACATTGTTAAGCTTTTGCAGACCTGCTTGTTCTACCTCAGGAGCATTGCAAAAATCAAGAAAATAAATAGCTGTAACATATTTTGCTGAAAGTGCTCGGCTAAGCTATCACTACAAAGTTTATTTTGCCTCTATCCAAAAATCAGGAAATTGGCTGCTTTCCCAGTGACTAAGGCTAAGCTAACAGCTAGCAGCTAACAGTTAAGTTTGGAGGCAGCCACAGATGACCCCGAAATAGTGTCTGGAAAACAGTAACTAATAATACTTCAAGATGTGGGCCTTGGTGGGCAATACATGTAAAAGATTCACAAAACAGACAAGAATAGTAGATGTAAGGAGAAGAGGAGATGAGCTGTTTGTTGTATATCAGTGGATTTTACAGTCACTGGAAGAGAGCATCCTTACATCCTAACAACGCTCTGATGCCATCACTGCTATTGCTATTGTACTTATTCAGCCATAACAATCCTTAATAATGAATTAACATAGGTATGAATGACGGGTACCTTACTATCACATGCTGTTCATATATAACATTTCTTGTATATGTCTAAGAGCATAGTTTGCAATAAACCCAAAAAGATGCCTCCAACAGACACGTTTTAGTTTACGAGAAATATTAAGGAAAGTTCTCAGCATCTGTTAACGTACATCCAGTTTCTGGTTGTTTGCATCTAGATGGTTGTAGTATAGCACAAGATATTTGTTTTAATGTGACCATATTTCAGCATAATGGTTAGTTCTGGGTAACGTTATGAGTACTGACAGATATATCTGTAGTCACAAGAAAAGAAGAATCAGGAGTTTTTTAATGCTATTTACACTGTTTGCACTCTTTTTGCTCATGTTTTTATATATATATATATATTGATTGATTTGTTTCTGAACATTCACTTTCCAAAGTAAAATAACAAAAGTTTTGGCTAAATGAAAGAAAAAGTGGCAGTAGACTATAGCTGTTAATGATGAGCAAAACTTATAATCTGTTAATAGTTTCTGCCATTTTTCAACACAGTTAGTAGAAGAAATGCCCGTTATTTCTAGATTTTAGTTCCTCAAAAATGAAGCTTTCCTGCTTTTCTGTCCTATATATTACTGTTAGCTGAATATTTGGGGTTGTTTGGTTTGTTTGTTTTGTTTGGCTGAAACATTTAAAGCAGTTGCCTTCAGCTCGGCAATTTTTGACAAATTATGACCAAACGATAAAGCAAAAAAATAATTGGTACAAGAAGAATTTTTTATTTTTTTAAAAAAATGCAAAAGTAAATGAAAATAAATAAATGTAAAAGAATTATAAGACTTTATACTAGAACTGGTATAAATACAACCGTGTTTAAAGATGTTATCCTGTTGACAATGAGTGCCTCGCTTTGTTCTGACCCTCTGATATCTGTTTAACAGGGAAGAACGCATTGAAGACGGAGCTGCAGTTCTCTGATATGTATTGTCTCATGGCAGCTCAAGTATACGTTGACCTATGGACAGAGACCGGTAAGGTTCTTTCTGAGACTTTATTCCACATCTGCGTCTCTTTAAGCAATGCGTATTCTAAATGTTATTCCCCGTGTGTTTTGTAGGGGATGAGAGCATGGCGTGGCAGAGTTTGGGCCTCCTTCAGGAGGGTCTATCTCACAGCTCCTCTAACGCCCAGTTCAAGCTGCTGCTTCTGCTCCTCTACTGTCACCTGGGAGCCTTTGAGCCTGTTGTGGACCTTTACTCCAGCCTGGACGCCAAGCATGTACAGCACGACACCATAGGGTCAGTGATGCCATCTGTGCTTGTGTTTATCAGGCACCTCAGGGTTTTTCTTAGAATCCTGCTGAAAGTGAACCTAAACCAGATTCTGATATAACCTGCCCTGGTTAGTGGGTTTAATGTAGTCCAGAGTGTAATAATCACAGCTGAAATGACCTCTTATAGTTTATATCCACGCCCTTTTCTACGTGAGGTTTCTCTTTTCTTCCGTAGTTTGTCACCTCAGTGTGACCTTTTTAATGAATACCCTGTCCTCAAAGATTGGTGCACTTATGTGTCTAAGTCCCATCTCATGCAGGCTCCTAAAAACGTAGGATACCTCTGAAGCTTTTAGAAATATTAGAAGAGATAGGAGTCATTTTCTGAGCTACGAAACCACATTAAATCCTCTTTCTCCTGAGCCTTAAAGTACAACCCAAAACATCTTTGAGATGCTTGATGAATACAAACCCTGACCACCATTTTTTGATAAAGACTTGAGTGTAAAAATACTTTTTTCGTTTTTCAGGTTTCTGTTAACACGGTATGCTGAGTCATTGGGTCAGTTTGCTGCTGCCTCCCAGTCCTGTAATTTCTCCCTCAGGTTTTTCCATTCTAACCAGAAAGATGTAAGTCTGACCCACTTTCATTTAATTTCAGACACTTTTAAGTCCAGGATCTGACACTTATATGTTACCTTCTTCTGTCTTTTCCTTCCACCAGACCTCAGAGTATATCATCCAGGCGTATAAATACGGAGCGTTTGAGAAAATCCCAGAGTTCATTGCTTTGAGAAACAGGCTGAACCAGTCGCTGCATTTTGCACAGGTCCGCACTGAAAGGATGCTGCTGGACCTGTTCCTGGAGGCAGATATGTAAGAAGTCACTAAACTTACAAAATTTTAGCAGTTCGTGCTGCAGAGCTGAATTCTTGATTTAGACATTTTGTTTTTTGATTTGTTTTTCAGTGTGTTAAGTCTGGAGGAGAGTGTGAAGGCCATGTCTTTGTCTGCAGAGGACGACATCCCCTGGGATAATATGAGGGATAACAGAGACCTTACCGTTTTTACCAGCTGGGACCCTAAAGAGAGGTATATAACAATTTTTACCTTTTTTTTTGCTGCAGAGATGCCTGTACTCCCAAATTAACTCGTATTGCCTCTTCTTCTTGAAGACAACTGACTGATGAGCATCGGCGTCAGTCTCTCGAAGAGGAGTCTGTGTGGCTGAGGATACGTTCTCTGACGCTTCGCCTCCTCGCCTCGTTGGCTGCACTGGGACACACGCCATCGCAACAAAATTCTGAGATATCCAACGAGAACGGAGTCGGAGACAAGACATCAGTCCTCAGCAGCCTGCTGTCTGAGCTCAACCAGACTCTGCAGACAGCGGCTCAGATAGCAGAAAAATGCATACAGGTGAGTTTTACACTAAAGATTCTGTGATAAAAAACGGAAAACCTTTGAGCATTAGTAGCAAGCAAAGGAACCTCACTGATTCACTTCCCCATACATAAACAACCCAAAATAATGAACAATAAAATTTTAAATTACATACAAATATATCTGTTCTGATACTGAAACGATACCACTGCAAAAACGTAGAACAATTGGAAAATCAGTGAAATAATCAATGATATAACATGGAATTTAAGTTTGTTTTTTATTGTTTTATAAAACAGGAAAAAGAGGAAATGTTACTAACAACGTCAGTGCACAGCAGCAAAAGATGTGAACATAAGCCATAAAACAGAAGTAAATTATTAACGTGTTCATGTATTTTCATATCAAGCAGAACTGGAGGAACTCTCCGTTAAGATCTGCTCTTCACATGGTCATGTCCCATTGCTGCTTATCAGAGGTTCAGTCCTCACAGAGATCAGTGCAGGAGAACTTTGTTGCACAGTTTAATTACCTACGTTCACTCTTTGTGCAGAATTCAGTTTATCATTTGTAACTGGTGTTGTTGATCTGGAAACTGTCGCTGTATGAAAGCAGATCTGCAGTGGGTCAGTGTTCAGACATTCTTCTATTCCTCTGGGGCCACATTTACCAAACATTCAGGCTAAAAGTAGCTTGTAACGAGTTTAGTTTAGAGAAACTTCCATAAATAAGGTTTCTTCTCTAATTTTAGGAGACACAAGTTTCAAGCTGAACCCTGCAGGTAAAAACTTGCTGGGTTTAGCAAGATTTTACCTGCATATATTCTTATACATTTAAAATATGATTCAGTGTTAGACATGAGTGGAGCCGTTTGCTGTAATGATGTTCTTGTTGTTCCAGTATCCATTCTTGGGACCACCCTCCACCCGCCTGGCCTCAGCTTTGACCAGTGGGAGCTGTCAGTGTCAGGCTGCAGCCCTGCAGCTGTCTGTCCACCTGCAGGAGCTCGAGACGGCTGGACTTGGTGAGAAGACATGAACCCAAAGGAATCGTGCACCACTGTGACGCTGTCTGATGCTTTTATACTCACCGCTCTCTTTTTACCTGCTTAGATGAGTCGTCGGAGCTTCAGACGCAGATCTGTAACGGTTTCAAATCATTAGTAGTTCAGCTTCAAGGTGAGTTAACGGACGTTTTTCTTTATCAGCAGTTACATTTATTTTGTTGTGCTTCATGTTTTCCTCTTTTGTCCACAGAAATACTGAATAAATGCAAAGGGGATTTATTGGAAATGAAAGAAAGCAAATTAAAAACCCGGCCCTCCTTATTAGAAAACCTAATCTTCTTCGTTGAGGTGAGACATCTCTGCTTCAGTGTGTGTTTCTTATCTCTACTAAATCTGATACGATCACATTGTAACATGTTGTTCTGCACAGACGGTGTGCATAGTCTTGTGGGTGGCTAGTTACTGTGCCAAGATCCTTCGACCTCTCAAGACGAGTCTACAGAAGAAGAAAAAGAAGAAAAAGGATGCAAACACAGCTCTGGTACAGTTGACCCTTTTTAATCCTTTGATACATCCACCTGCAGACTTCATCAGTGCTCTTTATTGACATCTCTTTGCTTGGGAATGTGTGTCTCTGCAGCCAGTGGTGGTGTGTGGCTTCCAGGAGCTGACGGGGAACTTACAGGACCTGCTCAACCAGGCTTTGGAGCATATAAAGGAGCAGGAAACTGGCATGACAGCCCTTAAACTGGCCAGTTTAACCTTGGAAGGATACACACAGGTGAATGTGTGGACATGGGGACAGCGACTGACAAAAACTGTACTTTTTTTTAGTTGGTTCCTAAAAACAAACGTGTGTTTTACTACGTAGCCGAAAGGTTAGAATATATTTTTTCCTTTTTGAAAACAAGGAGCCGCTCTTCTTTGCTGCTCAATTTTCATATTTGACAAAAACATAATTCAAACATATATTTCTGCAAGTGACGACATCAAGGAATCCATAAACTCTAGAATATGCTCATTTACATGTGAAAACTTGATGGCATTGACAAGTCACGGGTCAAATCGCAGTTATTTATTTAGCACGTTGAGAAGACCGGCTAAACTAAGCAGAAGCTGAGCCAAAGTGCTTTCCAGTAGGACAATATTTTGAACGTTATTTTACCTAACAAGTGTAAAGATGAAGTTACCTCTCAGTTCACTCACAGTTTACTGTACAACTTTACCTAACTAATATAAACATTTAAGTTAAGACCCTACAAAATTATACAAAAAAACCCAACAAATCTCCATCAAATCCCAGTTAACTATCATGGGGACTTCATAGACATGTGCAGATCCGATGAAAAGAAAGTGTTTCGAATTAGCTGTGTCGATCAGCTGTACTACCTAGTTGTTCCACCAGGTGGAGCCTCTCACTGTTTAATACAAGGGTGGGCAATCCTGGTCCTCAAGGGCCACAATCCTGCATGTTTTAGATGTTTCCTTCTTCCAACACACCTGATTCAAATGATCAGCTCATCATCAAGCTCTGCAGAAGCCNGCATTGACAAGTCACGGGTCAAATCACAGTTATTTATTTAGCACGTTGAGAAGACTGGCTAAACTAAACAGCTGCTGAGCCAAAGTGCTTTCCAGTAGGACAATATTTTGAACGTTAATTTACCCAACAAGTGTAAAGATGAAGTTAACTCTCAGTTCACTCACAGTTTACTATACAACTTTACCTAACTAATTCAAACATTTAAGTTAAGATCCTACAAAATTATACAAAAAAAACCAACAAATCTCCATCAAATCCTAGTTCACTATCATGGGGACTTCATAGACATGTGCAGATCTGATGAAAAAGAAAGTGTTTAGAATTAGCTGTGTAGATCAGCTGTAGTACCTAGTTGTTCCACCAGGTGGAGCCTCTTACTGTTTAATACTTAGCAACCTGAGGAGGCAGTTACTCTATGGGAACTTCTGTGTTGGCAGGAAGAGAGCATTGTGGGGGTTTACCAGCAACAGGCCGCTATGACAAAGACTTCTGTGATGCTTAATGTCTTCCAGCCAAAACTAATGTGTTGTAGACAAGTCGGGATAAACTAGATGGCATTTCTGTACTACAGTAGTGTCTGTCACAGAGCTGTCTTTGCACCCCAAATTGTCTTTATTGACTCCTATTACATCAAATGTCATCTGCCCACAGTTGATGTATTCACTTTCTGTAAACTGTTTTTTTAGTATAAGAGAAAGTTCGCCAGTGAGCGAATGTGGTGGTCGGGTTTAAAATCCAGGAGCAGACAGCCTACAAGTGAAGTGTTTGTCCAATTGTTTTGGTAGCATGTAGCCTGTGGTCTAACCTGTGTTAGAAAAAGGCTGTGCAACTGCTGGGTCTATCTTTTTTTTTTTTTTTTAGATTGACAACACCTGGTTTAAAACCTTTTCATAAGTTTCCAGAGGCGACAACCAGGCTCTGATATTTTCTGTCTTTTCTCGTGTGTTTCAGGAGGAGGCGTCGTTTACGAAGGCTGCTATGGACAAGGTGCAGAGCAGTTACCTGCGCTCGCTACAGGAGGTGGGAGATCTGCTTAAGAAGAGAGCAGAAACTATAAAGAGCCTCAAGATCTGAACCTTATCACTCACCCCAGAATAACATGACTGTACTCCCACCATCAGCCCAAAAACCCCCCACACCACCACCTACTGTCAGCCCACCAGCTAACCTACGAGTCCCACCAACCCAACCCTCCTGTGCTCTCAATCATTTCTGACCTCCCTCCCTCTTTCCCACTCAACGTTTGTGAGCTCTCAGTCTGGATTTTCTTTTTTTTTTTTTCTTCACTTCCACATACACCTCTGGAACATTTGCAACTCTTATAGCACATAAGCTTGTAAGTAAAGTCATGAATTTATACCGCAGTTATAAGTGAAAATGAGGAAAAAAGACGCGCTCCTTTAAAAAAGTATATATAGATCAAATTAGGAAAAATGAATACGCAGTTTTAGAAGAAACTAATCTAATAAATTATTGTACATAGTGAAGAGCAACTACCACAGCTCCTTATGAATATAAGACACAATAAACCACTATCCTGTTTGTTGGTCAGTTACGTTTCCTCTTTATTCCTCACGTTGTTTTTTTCCAATGAGAACAATTGAAGTGATACACACTCTAAACTCTGAGGAGGAAAGGTTCTTTTATTGTGCTGCTTTTCCAGCCGTTTCCCTCCAAGAGGAAACATGCACAATTTTGCATTAAACTTATGCACTCTGTGGAAATATGGACACCTGGCTACCAGCAGAAAGCCTTCGGACTGATGTTTCCCATTTGAGAATTATTTTGTCACCTCTTTATCTTCTTTTTACTTTCTTTTTTTCCCCCCCATGTATCTTGTGTGTGGCTTTGGTACTGTACCACCTCTGTAGTTGCAGTATTATAAAGAGCAATGTTGGGATGAGGTAAATAACCAGGACTTTTTTTTTTAACTTGAATTGTCTGACACTTTTTTTCTTTTTTTTTTTAATAATACTGGTAGAAGTGATGCTTGTAAACATTGTGGAATTAGCACAAAGAAAAAAATCAGGCATCAGAATCCTTGAAGGCTGGAGTGAATTATTTAAGAAACCACGTGCGACTATCTTAACATGAATGTTCACCAAAAACATGGCGTTTGGTACTGATGCTGCAGGCGTGTCAGGTCTGTATCAGTATGTAACCACTGGAAGTCCAGTTTCAATCATGACTGTAGCTTTCATAAATACCCACATACAGTATATAACAGAAGTGATTACACCCCTGTGCAATAACCCTTAATTGTCCAATGATTCCAACTTTATCACCTCTCAATAATGGTTTTATTTTTTAGTTGAACAGTAGCTATCTGCTCTTATGTAAAGTTAAACAGTTCAGATTTACTGTATTAGAAATGTAGGCCCCACAGTGGGAATTCAATGCAACAAGTCAGTAAACTTCTCGTAACTGATTCAGATCTTGGATTTTAAAATTATTTTGTGTGTCCAACTTTGTTTTAATGCCGGACTCCTTGCCGCACAGGATACCGAATTTGTGGAGAAATGTTCTTCAGTTCTTTCAGCTGCTCTTTGCTGGAGGGGTTGGGTTGATCTGCTTTTCTCTTTATAACACCCTAAAGGTGGTTTATTACATTCAGGTTAGGCAACATGCTTGTCCAGGTCATAGCTTTCACTTTGTTCTTTAGACACATTTGTGGGTTTTTTGTGCTTTGGATGGTTATTATGCTGGAATATTCCTCTTCTGCCAAGCTGCTGCAGACTGGGAGTCACGTTGTCAACCAGTATGTTGGTGCATCTACAGACCTTCATGGCTCCATCTATGCATGTCACCTCTCCAACACCTTAACACTCACCTATCACCACACTCTCACCTTTAGTGCTTCACTGTAGTAATCTTAACCGGGTTCACACCAAACATGCTGGACCTCATGGGAGCCTAACACATTTATGTTGTTCATCTGGCAAGAGAATGTGTCCAAATATGAATCTGGCTTTTTTTCACATTCTTTAGCAAAGTTTAATCCTGCGGTTTTATACCGAACAGGAAGCAAGGCTTTTTTTTTTTCTTGGACATCATCCATAGAGTTTGATGTTATAAAATCTCCTTTACACTTTCTGAGCTGTCACAAAAACTATTCACTAATAATTCCTGTGACAAGTATGAAGCAGCTGCCCGTCTCTTTTTGTCACAGCTAGATTGTGAAAGTAGTGCACTGTTTTTGCATCATTTTGTGAACACAGCAACTCTGATTCGTACTACGGTTGGTTCTATACCTCCTCATAACTGCTGCAGCTCTGTTTCCACTCATCTTTCAAAGCTCATCGATCTTCCTGTGTTCTTCTCCGTCTTTACGAAATGTCGCAATTCGATTTTTCATTTCCTCTGGCGATTCTTGTCCGTGTGGAAATGACAGCCCATAGATCCAAAAGTGAGCAAGTTCTGCTGTTTACAACTCATTTTAAAACCACGATTATCTAGTTACACTAAATCAGTTCGCTCCGTTTGTATTTATAAGTTGTTGCATTGAGTTTCTACTTTTTTTTTTGGCTTGGATTTTCAATATGATCTTTTTAAAGGATTTGTTTTTCAATTGTCCATTGGAGGAAATATTCTATTTTTCAACTTGTCAAACAAAACAATTATTAAGAACTGATACAATTTCACATCATTTGACTTAAAAGTGACATTACACAGGGGGGTACTCACTTCTGTTGTAGACTTTGTCGCAACAAATACACCAGTTAATGCGATTTTAGTCCGTGTTTAAACCTAGAGCAGCACCATTCAGAGGACATCGACTCTGTTATTTTCAGCCCACTTGCAGCTTTTTAGAAATCCTGCTCTTTTGTCTCAAACCCAGCAAGATGTGTTTCAAACATTGGACCTAATTTGTACATAGAAGTCGAGGCAGCCTTCTCAGAATACAGTGTGCAAGGAACTTTAGTGTGTTTTAAAAGCAGCTGCAGTAGATACTATGAGATTTTTGTCCTGTGTTCATGTTTTTGTCATTCCCACTTTAGTCACCCATCCCCCCGAAAAAACACAACTCGTGAACCAAAACAGTGTCATCAGCTACAGCATCTTAGTTTATTATAAATCGCCGGTGACGGCTCACCCCGAGAAAAGAAGCAGACAGTTGTTTACAAGTGCAAGCACTGATGGACGACTGCTGGCACTGCAGGTAGTGTGCAATCGGGATATTTGTGTTACTGTTTTATCCAGAATTTGGTAGAGCAGTGTGAAAATGTGAGTGAATTGCTCTCCTCCCTGTAAGTCTTGTATATGCATCTGCTAATAAATGCCTTTTTTTGAAGACTCAAGCCCATCTGTTTGAATGGACCCGCGGCTGAAGAGTAGATGTTCATGATCTGACTACATGTGTTGTTGTTGTTGACGTTCAGAATAATGGTTGACAATCTGGAGTGTCATCTCACCACCTTCTTTTGTTAGAAAATGGAAAACAGAAACACTGGAATGTCAAAGCTTTTTTAAATAAAAAAAAAAAAGTAAATGTGACCATTTCGCTGTGCTGTGTCTTGATTTCTTTATGATGAAGGCCTCAGTACTGAGTGGCTCTCTTGTAACTGTAGGCCAAAATCCTCAGAGCAGTATTTGGATTTGGCTCTTGCTGCCTCCACACAGCTTGGTCCCAGATACTGACGCTAGCCCTCCAATATCCTGCAGCTCCCTCATCTCAGTGTCTGGTTTTGTCTTTGTGCTTTTGCTTCTGCTTGTGGCATTGCGACTCTTTTTTTTCTGTCAAAATTCTTTTCTCGTATTCCGGATTACTTTGGAACAACATTTTTAAGGGGCAAATTTTATTTATTTTTTTAAATAAGTAAAATTTTACATACAAAGTGGTGAGAAATGTTCATTTTTATGGTTCTTTAGCACAGATGTGGCAAAATATCTTGATCCAGCCTCCTACAAAGCTGTAAAGTGGCAGCTACATGCACCACATTTGACAGAAAGATGAAAAAGCCACTTGGAGTCATGCTCTAAGGCAGAGAGAAAGTCAGCGTGCACAAAGGTGCGAGGGCCTGAACATTGCTGCTTGCAGGTTTTTAAAAATATTCTAGTTATAGTCATTTTTCATGCAGTAGTGGAGAAGTACTCAGACACTAGCAATACGACACTGCAAATATGCTTTGTTGAAATAAAAATGCTGTATCAAAATTTGGCTCAAGTAAAAGTGCATACGGTCATGAAAAATGGAAATTGATCCTTTGTTTATACTTTTGGGCAAACAAACATTTGGTCCTTTGACACAGCGTCCATTAATGAAGGTGATAAACTACACTCAAGAGATGGTTAGCTTTTTCAACCATTTACTAAACAAAAATATCAGAAGATGTAATATTCTTGTGTGGAAAAAGTGGACAAACCCTTGGCACTGGAAGTTAGTTTTACTACATTTAGCTGAAATAACTTCCTGTAGGCATTTGGCGCAATTGTCCACCTGTCTCACATCAGCTGGCTCGTGCTGAACGCTACTTATAAACTAATGGCCTCACTTTGTTGTTGTTAACTGATATTTTTGACAGAACATCAAAACAGATGTTATATCTCATGACATTAAAAAAAAAAGCATGTTCATTGTCTCCACTTTTACACAGAAAACACAGACAACATCCTATCAGACAAGACAACGTCTAAGACAAGGGGTGTAAAATAGCTGCATTCCCAAAGATTGACAGTTTCTCCCTTTAATAAACCCAGACAGTGGATGGCCAATCTATACGAGTTCAGCATGTGACACAATCAGATAAACTTAGACTTCAGTAAAGAAAAGAAAATAGTAAGTGCCTGAAGTATACCAGTTACATCTGAGCCTGCCAAATAAGTTGTTATATCAGATGCCAAAAAAAAATATGTGACTCCAGTCAATCAGTTAGAATTGAATTGAAAATGCATTTGGAATTAGAGGTGAAATGTCTTCAAGGAACAAGAAATGTAATTCTCTTCTATGGAAGCTGTTAAAATGTCATTTGTCACCAGTTTATGTCATTTAATGCAAACCTATTCATCAAATAAAACTTTACTATAGGTCAAAATGTGCCATAGGTACTTTTAGGCTTAACTGTACCTTGATTTTATTTTATTTTTTTTAATACGAATAAAAATGTGAAATTTGACTTTCTTTGTCACGTGTTCATGTCATTTCCAGCCAGAAAAAAGGTCAAATAAAATTCACTCTATCAAAATCTGTCATAAGTATGAAAAATTTTAATCTCAATTCTATGCTGATTTTTTTTAAACTACGAAAATGTTGATTTTTTTTTTTTTTTACTATCTTTTATCAATTGATTGCGTAATTTGCAGCCCTCAGAAGTCTAATGTTCAAGTATAAATTCCCAGCAAATTAAAAATTGTCATGGATACGAATTATTTTGGTCTTAACTGTATATTGTTTTTGTTTGTTTGTTTGTTTTTAACATTAAAGGTACATTTTTTAGTTTCTCTGAATCAGTAAGGATGCAGTTCGCAGTCAGTTCCTGCAGGTGGCAGCAAAGGCGCCTGCTGTTGAATTCTGCTGCTTCATTTCGTGCTGCGAAGAAGAACAACTTGCGAGAAACAGCTGTGAACAGACACAGAGCGGCTAGCTGAAGTTCAGCACACTTACAGTGTGCTAGCTATCAAAAACAAATGTATTTTTTGTATTTATAAGCGGCAAAGACAAAAACAGCAGGACTAACCTGTACGCTGTGTCACTGAGCTGATACGCATTTGCTTCGGCTGCCTTGACGCCCTGACGCACTAGTTATATTTAGCCTAATAGCTTGCTAGTCACAGAGCTAGGCGTGTTAGCTCTAGCTTAGCCGTCTGTCACCCGGGTTGTGTTGTTCTCTGTAAAAGTGGCACCTTCTTTTATAACACATGAGTGTGTCGCTGGTCGTTATCCGTCTGGAATTGGCCGACCAGTCTCCTTCTCCACAAGGGTTCCAGTACTCCGCCGGTGAGTTCTGAAAACGCTTAAAGTTAGCCAGGCAGCTGCTAGCCTTTGTATTGTTGTCACAAAGTGCCATTATTGATTGAACTAGCCTGAGTGCATCAAAATGTAATGTGTCTGAATAATGTATGACCAGAGGCATTGCTGGGGTCTTGTCCTACATTAGAGGCTTAGCCAAACTCCAAAATCTTTAGATTTAACCTGATAATAGAACCATTGTTATGATATTTAGAGCAAGTGTGAGACACTGTGCTCCAGGCAAAGTAAAGTCATCCCACTTCCTTGCTATGCTGAGCCCATGTTCCATATTAGTCTCACAATGAGTGCAGGATAGCTAGAGCAGTGGTGCTCTAATTGTGTGCCTTGAAATTAATCTTTTTTTTGATGTTTCCATCATGGAGTTATAACCATATGTAAAAGTGAGCTTTGGAAATACTTACTTTCACAAATGTTCAAAAGACATTTGTGTTAAAAGGAAGTTGTCTTCCACTGTTGCTCATATTCTCACTTCATAGGAAATCTTTGGACTCACTGGGTTTTCCTTGTGCGTTTTTGTAGGGTCTTAACGATAATATTCTGAACTAGACAAGCAATTTGTTGCCTTATTTTGCGTAATAACGTTTATACTGCTAACTTTAATATTCAAATATCAGTAATGGCAATCGTATTTCTATATGGGGCACTTTGGTTCAACTGCTATGGTTAAATATGCACTGTCATCCTTTTGTTTATTTTAAATGTTGTTCTGTTGCCTCCTGTGCATCCTGCCTTTGCTTTGACTGTCAACGTACTTGTTTTGAAAGGTGCTCTATCAGTGACATTATCAGTGTAATTATTGTAGTCATTTGGGTAGCCGACCATTTCACTGTCATTAAAGGAGGTGTAGCTGTCAGTGAGTGGACACAGTTCATGCCTGAAGTCCTATATCCTGATATACCCAGAAAAAAATTACTAATGCAAATCATACCAGATCTGCTGTCTTTGTTTGTTGCTGACAAAATTCTGTCCATAGCCTAAATCTAACTTACTAACTACAGCAACTTAGTTCATCAACAAAATGGTCTTTCTTTGCTACTTGACTCCCCGTTGCCATATGTTGTAAGTTACTTTTATGTTTAACAGAATAATAGGTTAATAATTGATTTAATTTTAGCTGCTCTACGTTCTACTGCACAGGGGAGAATCTAAAGATGAAATTTGAGTCAAGCATGTTTTTATTACATTTTTTAAATGACATAGGAAATAGAACAATTATCACACAAAGCTGTGACTGTGTGAAGTTCAGTAAATAGTGATAGTCAAAACTAAATAAATTCATATAGGAAAATGTTAGGACCTCTTTGTAAACAATCTCTGACACTACAAAAGTAGACCTTTCAGTGACTCAGGAGCAACATTGTTTTGCACGTTCTGCCATCACGTTAAAGTCATAATAATAATCCATAACATTTTTTTTTTTTATCTGATTATTTATAAAGCACTCCGGCCTCAGATGTTGAGGCCTAATGGCGCCACTGTGTATGGCTCTGATATGGAGACATTCCAGGTTGTCCATTACAGATTAATGGGCCGCTGATTGCAAAAATGGGAAAAAATTGACTGTTTCTGTGGTCAAATGTGCAGTTGAAGGCATGTCAGAGGAGGAGCTGCAGGAGAAAGCTCTGGGTTTAGCCAAACACACTCTGAGTGGAAAGACCGACCTGGACAGAGCAGCCGTCCTGCACCAGCACATTGGCAGCAGAGCCATGGGGGACATGGTTATAGAAACCTTTGAACCAAGCCCAGGTAAGCACATGCATGGTATTAAGATAAGCAAACAAGTTCTTATCCTTTTTGGAAACATTGAATATAACTCAGAGTTGCTGCCAGACAAAGCAGAATCCTAAGAACAGCTGATGCAAAGTGTGGAATTTTGTACAATTATACAATCAGTTTAAAACTAAAACAAAAAAAACAGGCGTTAATACATCCATAAATATGTTACCATAATTAGGTTTGGGTTTTTTTTCCCCCATGTCTTTTCAAAAATATAAAATCTAACTCTGGCCCTGTGCTTTAAAGACTTGAGTTGACACTGCTAAATTTCCCTCATAGATAAGGGAGGAGGTGATGAGCCAAACAGTGAACTTCAGGATGCAAAGGCTGACAGTCAGGAGGGCACAGAGGGTTCACAGGACAGCAACACTGCCACAGGCACTGCTCCAGACTCCCCCTCCAAGCAGCTGCCGGACCAGATCTCCTTCTTCAGCGGGAACCCCTCAGTGGAGATCATCCATGGTATCATGCACCTCTACAAGACCAAGTAAGTCACATCTAACATGAATATTCTTTCTGATCCATATGAGCAATTGATGTGTTGTCCAGTGATAATACACTGAATACCTCTACAGATACTTCAAAATGCATTCATTGCATGCAAAATCTATTTTGACAGTCTACAGGGGGCTGGAGCTAGCTAGTTAGCAGCGACTGAACTTTGTTGGGTGTTTTTGTTGTGGGTTTTTTTTTTATATGGGATGTTTATATTTCTTTTTGTCTTTTTGAAGCAAAATGACTTCACTGACTG